ATTTTTAGATTTTAATGTGGATCTTTAAGACTATGTATTATGTTAAATATATAAATTTACATTTTTTTCTGAGGTTCCCTGTGACTTGAGCTGATACAAAAGGATGGCTTGGCTTTTTAGTAGATATAAACCAGAGTGACAAATCAAATGGCTACAAACCAGATAGATGTAGAAGAAGGAACCTGATCCTGTTTAGATTTGAAGAGTCTCTAGAGTCTGGGATCCTGGTGTGGTACTTTAGGATAAACTACGAGGTTGATGGTTCAAACCCAGTAACCTCTCCTCAGAAACAGGTTCACTGTGAGTTGGAATTTAACAACAGATTCTGGTTAGCATGCTAAATTTTGTTTTCCCCCCTCTGGGGATCTGGATTTAAAGGAAAAAAGTGGGTTTTACCTTTAAAAACTCCAAGATTCATATAAAGCCTATAAGGTATGACCTTTCTCTCAAAGTGAGGGCTGAAAAAAATTTGTTTTTTTTTTTCCTTCCTTACTCTCAATTTATTATGCCTTTCCTCTTGGAGACATTAAAGTATTTTTGTTTAGAAGGCTTTTTTAGAGTTTTGTCTTGGCTAACATGTAGGCATTATAACGCTATGATAAGAACAACAGTGGAACAGTTTGAAACTATCTTGAGAAGAGGCTATAGTCACAGAAGAGGAGATACAGCCCAAAGCATAAGAATCACAGGGTTGAAGGTAGCAGGAGCAAAAAGTCCAATTCTCAGGCCCCACTTGGGGCAGGGCATAGATAGGAATGTGTAAACTCAACAAATTATCTAGTCAAGTCCGATTTCAGCCAGTGTGCTAGTTCTTTGTTTGCTGCAGATGAGGAAACTGAGGCTCTGTGAGAATAGCTGGCTCAAGATGTCTAGGTCTGGAGTACGGATGGAACCTGAGCCCAGTGTCCTGATACAACCATGGTGCACCTTCCTCTGAAGAGACAGTAGCTTCCTGCCCCTTTGGCCTGGCTTCAGTACAGTCACAGAGCTGTGCAAATATTGTTAAGTGCTGTTGAGTCGGTTCCGACTCATAACCACCCTGTATAGGGTTTCCGAGTTGCTGCTGGTGGGTTTGAATCGCCGACCTTGCAGCTAGCAGTCTAGTGCTTATCCTACAGTGCCACACCAGGGCTCCCACTGTCTAATTCCAGAACTTACGGCGACCCCAGATGTTTAGAGTAGAACCACACTCCATAGGCTGTGACCTTTCAAAAGCAGATCATCAGGCTTTCCTTCCCATGTCCTAGGGGTGGGTTTGAACAGCCAACTCTTTGTGAGTCATGTAGCATTTAACCATTTGCACTACTCAGGGCCTCTCTGGCCTGGTTTCAAAGGAACATTGACATGCTAGTAATCAGTCCACATCTGTGTCAGAATCATCCCTACCTTCTTTTTTCTTTGCCTCCTCCTCTGGATGTTTCCTCTGGATGTTCTGAACCAGCATGAAAATAAACTTTTTCAACACTAGTGCAAGTCTAGAGACATGACATTCAAAGATTGCCTCACCCTTGAGCGAGCTGCCTTACCAGAGATCTGTATCTTGTTTATTTACGAAGCAGATGATAGGTTTGAAATGTCAGCATTGCTCTGGGGTAGGTAAAGGGAGACGCCTGCTGCTTCCCGTCAGCTCATGGCTTACTTCCAAGGTCCCCGGACATGCTCAGAGCAGACGGGGAGGTGCAGGGGGGTTACAACATGGTGAGAATCAGATGCAAAACAGGACAGAGCCTTCCCCATCCTATGTCACCCAATCCGGCCACCCCAACTGGTGACCAAGACTGCTGAAAATCGACGGAAGCAGAAGGCACTTTGTAAACCTGTACCAGCTGTTAGCAGAATACACTTCTCTGCAACTGACCTTTTCTGGGTTCTTTATAGGTCAGGGAGCATAACCTTAGTTTTATTTGGAGATTTCCCTGGAGGCATCAAAGTCTTTTGTCTTAGGCTGGTCAAAAGGCCACTTCTCTGGGCCTCACATTCCAGAACTATGTTTGCCTTCCCTCTTTCCCAGGATAGAGTGGTCCCTGTGGTTGACCCCATCTCTGGAGAGGACCAGCTTAGCTCAGTTTACCTCCTGCCATTCTGCATGTCCCTTCCATTAGACTGACCGGTCATTACACTGGATTCTGGTGGCCCTGAACCCTCCTGTTACATAATCCTAGCTGGGAACATGTGGTTGAAGGCTGACTCTTCTTACTGAAACATGAAGGGAAACCCCGGCCTGAGATATTTTAAGTGGATCCCAATTAGACTTGGCATCCTGCCTCTCGCAAGGGGAAGTAGCTCAGCTGGTCCATGCAGGCGAAAGTGGCACAGCACGTGAGTCTTCCCTGAACCCAACCTAAGGCTCTGCTTGGTGACTGAGGGTGGAAGAGAGGAGACAGGTGTCATAGCACATCACCCTGGTGTCTTCAGAAGGCAAGAACACTAAGTGGCAGAGGAAGACGATGTGGGTAAGGAATACGTCATACTGAAAAGTAACAGATTTTCTTGGTACAGTCTCCATATGGGAGAAGCCCACATCCGCATATGGAGATGAATGTGCAGAGCACTTCAGACACCCACGTCACTGCCTGGGCCCAGCTGAGTGCTCCCCCCCATCACGGCTTTGTTCACGCTGCCTCTCAGGTGATAACTTCCCAGAAACCAAGGAGTTGAGGACTGTCCAAGTTGGATCCCAAATGTTTGCAGCAACTGCCTTTCCCACCTATTTCAAACTCACCTACGAAGCAGAACACATTCCAGAGCGCTCTGAAATCTCGGGATTCATCAGCCTCTGTGTGGTGTAGAACCCCACCAGAGCACTGTAACAGTCAAAGTGGCAACTCTGACTCGGGTTCCAGCCTCCAGCCTAAGATGCTATGGATGGTTGCCAGGACATTAGGAATAGGAAAGGCCCAGTTTAAAAGCCGTAATATATTTTGCTGAAAATATACGTAAAGTGTGTGCCTTCAAGACAATGTGCTTCCTCTGGGAGGCTCACAGTTCATTACAACATAAACAGGAACAGACAGCAAGGGTTTCACTCAATAGAAAACTAGCAGCATTGTTTTGGATTTTGAGACCTTCCCCAGGCAGCCTGTCCCAGGATGGTAGAGGGTGTGCCCGATCAGCACCACTATAACTCATCCATCATGGCGAGCAGGTCATCTCCTTTGTTGGCACTCCATCGTGGTTGGTCCGTGATCTCAAACTCCCCCATGATCCGAGTCAGCTCTTGGTTCCTTTGCTGGTCCTGGTACAGAAATGCGAGGTGAAAGAGAATGAGAAGGCTGTGTTAGCAGACTGCCTCTTACTTAGTGCAGTAGGTATTTTATGTCCCATCACCAAGAAGCATTTCAGTTTCTGACCAGTGTGCCAGGATAGGGACTTATGGCTCCATGCAGCACAGACTCCAAAGGAAGGCAGGCTTGAAGTTTGAGTTTATGACCAGTGAGGAGGGGTACTAAAATTTAACCCTGGGTAATCACTTGCACCTACCTGGGTAGCTTGTATGTTGATGACTTCATAGGATAACTCTTCTGGCCTGGTTAAAGCTGCTTGTCTGAATGAGATGGCAAAGGAAAAGGTCACAGGTTAGCTAGGACTTTCTCCCTGCTAGTGTGGCAAACTGGACAATCTGACAGCCTATTTTCTTCTGCCTCACCTTCAGCTACATCCCCAACCAGGGCACCAGATACTCTAGAAAGGCAAGTTCAACTGTATCTGCTCTCTGCCTTTGCACATACTAAATTCTGTCAAGAATGCTTTTCCCCTTTCTCTGCTTGGCAAACTCCAAGACCTAGCTCAAATGCCAACTCTTCTGATCCGCCCGTGTATAGTCAGACACTCTGTCCTCAAATCTGAGCATTTGTGCCTTGAATGGAATTAGCTTATGTGCATGTTAGGCTTGTGTACTTGCTGCTGGAAGCGATTGACCTGAAGACAGGGTCTAGTTCCTCCACTCCATCCATCTTTGTGTCATCAGAACTTAGCATAGTACCCCTATGAGTAGGGAAATAGAAGGCAACCCCTACTCCAAGGATCCGGGTGTGAAGAGCATCACATGAGATAGTGAAAGGGCTTTGTAAGCTGTAAAGTACTTGTAAATCTTGGTGAATTAATACCACTATTGGTTTTTGATTAGAGATGCTTAAGTGTTCAGCTAAGAATCCACAGGTTGGACATTCAAATCTACCCAGAGGTTTACCAGAAAAAGGCTTGGCAATCTACTTCCGAAATACCACAGTCACCAAAAACCCTACAGCTCACAGCTCTCTAACACATGGGATCACCAGGAGTTGGAATTAACTGGATGGCAACTGGTTGGTTTTGGTCTAATCCCAAAGTTTATAAAAATCTATTAAACTCCAACTTCCATCTGGTTTTGAACAGATTTTTAAAAAATATGATTATCTTAGTTCCCAATAATTCTTGTTTAGCTCTGCCCTGCTAAGTAAAAAATTAGAACTCTTTTGTGAAAGAGTCTAGAAGCTTCCAGCAATTTAATTCTGGTGAGTTCTTGAACTCAGTTATTAAATTTTCTGGTTATTTCCTTTGAAATAATTACATCTATCCTCCTAAGTGTCACTGGTTTATGATGGTCATTTTTTTGGTTCTTATCAAACTTATGGTTTTATATCTATCTTAGAAACAAACAGATTTAAGACCTACTCCTCTTCTTCATCGGTGGTAAAAAGATTCAACCGGAATCCTGGCTCAGGGCCGCTGGGTTTCTTAATCTCCATTCCTCCCATCAGCCTGGCCAAGAAATTCAGCTCTTCTTTAGCAAGAGGGTTTGGAGCAATGTTTTCCTACAGAAACAATTTCATGACTTTTAGTCACATAAAGGAGATCACTTTTCCTGCTAAACACCCCAGAGATCCAAGGCAGTGGAAGAAACAAGGTAAAGCAATTAACTGTGTAAATTATTTCTGGGAAGGATTGGGGCCAGATAAAGCTTGAGAAAACAAGTTTAACCAAAAGAAAAAGAATCCACATCAGAAGCAGAGGGACTCTAGCAAGGCAACAAACCAGAGGCTTGCACACTTTGAAGAGTAGTGGAAGGCCTCAGGAATCCACGTTTCCTCTCAAACCACACTCCTTGAAGGAGGACTGTCTTGGTTCCCTCTGTAGATACGGTATCACAATGCAGTCTCTAGTTCCAGGGGTACTCATTCCATATGAGCTACCACACTGCCCTCGGGTGGTGACAGTCACAAATACATCCTCCTCTCCCTGAGGTTACCCTACTTCAGCCTCCCTGCTCCTCCACCTTTTCCATCACTCTACTGCTCTTCCTGCTTGAAACAGCCTTCCGCCTCTTGCCTAAAGAACAAAGTCCAAATGGTTTAAGATCACATTCAAGCCCTTTCTAGCCAGGTCCCAAAATTCTTGCTGAGTCACATGTCTGCCTCGATTACACTGCGACCTAGCTATGTGGGGGAGATACTGCCTTCTCCCTGCTTCCCCAGAACACGATGTTCCTGGTGCCTCTCTGTGCCCTTGCTTTTGCTGTCACCTTGGTTTGCATGGCCATTGTTCTATCTCTGTAACATATTTTACCTGCTCTTTAGAGCGCCACTTGAATGTCACCTCCTCAGAAGTATTCTTGATTCCCCACCCCAGTGGACAGAACATGCTGTTTTCTGAGCCCAGCATTTTGCTCAGAACACCCAGCTAGCTCTTCTCACACCGTGTTAGTCACTGGTTTCTCAGGGTACTATGCCCCCTTCAGGATGAGACCACTGGTCCGTCAGCTTTGTGTCCCTCCCTGGGTACCCAGCCTGTGTAGAAACAGTTCAATAAATGTTTGTGGAATAACTGAATAGTCCATGATTTGTCCTCTAGATTACAAGTAGCCAGTCTGGTGAAAATTTATAGAGACAGAATTATTCAGAGAACCTAAATCCCCAAGTTGAACTTAAGCTACCATATCACCATAGAGGAAAACATTCGAGACACCACTGATCAGAAAACACACAAGTGCTTGGAATCAGCAGCCACAGACCTAATGGCACTGGCACAATGCGATTTCACACGTCCTGGTGTGTGGTTCCTGGTTAATTATGGTTGTTGAGCCAAGCCTAAAATTATCTAATTAGTCAGATCACTGGAACTCTCTATGAGAAACTACAATTAAAAACCTGTGTTCTTGTAAGGCTGAATGGTGAAGATTGCAGACAATGAGGGAAACAGTGGCTAGCTTTGAAACGGAAACAGTCTCTTCTCCCCATGTATGTTTTGTTTTTTTTTTTAAATCTAGAAAGAAGCTCTGAAGATAAGGAAGGGAGGCAGCAGCTTACCTCTGTCCGTGAAGCTAAATTCTTTGATGCTCCAGACGTGTGTGTTTCCACAGGCCGATTCACGCTGTACCTGATGTTAACAGAAAATGGTGCAAGCATGAACCAGCCCCTTTGCAATCACTTCCTTCTGACTCACAGATAGACCACGAAGTTTTTGAGACATAAAACAGCATCCAGAAAGGAGCTGGGAGTACAGAATACGACTCAGCAGGTGTCAATCACTCCAACTTCACTTCTTCCCAAAGAAAACCACTTGGGACAGCTGAGTGGCAGTGGCTACTCTTGTAATGTAATGCATTCTACTGCAAGAACACGTAACATTCTAGGAAGGCCAAGCTGTTCAAGATGTCTACTGCAAAAAAAAAAAAAAAAAGCTTTTGGCTAGTTTTCTTCAGAGGCTATTTAAAATGATGTGTACATTTTAACCTGTTGGGCTACATTTGCAGTTCTTGGGGGCCCTTTGAGAATGTCAGGGCTCTGCCTGCATTGTCGCTAGGGGGAAATCACTCAACATGGTGTCAGGGATTTCCAGAGCAGAAGTGAAGCTGGTTTGTTTTTTTTAAAATGAAATCACCTTGGACTTGAATTCATTCAGGGATGGAGGACTTGCTTACATATTAGTTCCCAGCTTCAGGACTCGGTCTCCATAAAGTTCAAAAGAACCTTCTTTGGGTGCAGTGACATAGTTGCCACCGTGACTAAATTCAACCGTCTTCACTTCTTGGCCTTTGCGGTTGAACATTCTATAATACAAAAATATGACATGACGGAATGTTTTCCAAGCTTGGGCAGTCCTGAGGGCTTCTTTACTCTTTGTGCTACAGGACAAAGAATTCATCTCCTCCCTCAAGATAAAGATGCTTGTTTACAACACCTGGTTTAGGCAATTTACAGATAAGATGATAATAATGAGACATTATTGAGCCCATGCTATGGGCCAGATGTCCTAGCAGCACTATTATCTTATTCATCCTCGCAGTCATCAGGTAACAAACCTGAAGAACTGGGTGGCTTGCCTAGCTAAGTGGCAGAACCGGCATTAGGACCTGGCCTGAACCTTCACTGCTGCATTTTAACTGAGGAAAGAAATGGCTCAAGCACAGCCTGAAGGGCTCAGCAAGGCTGCTTTCCTCTTGGGAGCCTAGGCATAGGCTCCCAGACACCCCAAACACTGATAATTACTGTTCAGAATTCACCTGATGAGTCCGGGAACTTCAGTTCCCCAGGGAACAGGCCCAGACACTGGCAACACAAAGCGACCATTCGAGTTTTGCACTTTGTCCTTTAGAAATATGGACACCTGGGAGGGGAAACAAACAACAGTTATGGGCATTCTTCTTGTAGTGTTCTCAGAGACATAAGCATTCTGAGACGAGAACGTGGCCAGTGAGTTTATAACAGTCAAGAGAGAAAGACGCAATAAAGAACATCGGCATAGTGAGCATTTTCACAAACAGAACCTCTCTGAATTGCACAGCAAACCTGTCAGGTGAGTTGTCTGACCCCAACGCTTTAAAGAGGAGGAAGCTGAGGCTCACAGAAGGAAGTGACTTGCCCAAGAGTACAAAACGTGGCTGGGCCAGGATTCAGAACCAGGGTTGACTCCGGATCCCATACTTGTTCCTTGGTTCCCTGTGAGCTTCTTATGCTGGCCAGGGCCATAATTAATTAAGGAATTAAAATAAATAAATTGAGACATATTAATTGAGGAATTAATATAATGAAATGAGACATGGGGAAACCTGTGCATGAAGAATTCATTGTCTTTGCAAAGCAACAATGAAATACTTTTCTTTTTATTTTTCTCTCTTTGGATGGCAGAGCCACAAAGAGTTGTTTTATTATTTGTTATGCACAGACCCCTAGTGGAATTTTTCTCTTGGTGAAACATTCTCTGAGTTATTCATGATTTTATTAGTATCCCTTTTACTTTAGATTTTTGACTCTCCTACACTTTAGTATATTTTCATTAAAAGTCAGAAGCCACACAGTAGCTACATTTTATTCTACTAATCTTAGGTAGTTTTAATACTTATATTAACAATATTCTTAAGATTGTTAGGAGACAGGACTTGTCAATTGAATTACTGCCAGCTTAGGTTTAGTGATTGTAAACATTCTTCCTTGTAGCCTTAGTTTAAGGCAATAAAGAATCCTAAACTTGAAGAGCCATAAATAAGGGCTGTGGGTACAAGAATTTCTAAAACAATTAGATAAAGGGTATGGTATATACAGATACTAAATAAAAAGTCTGACTTAGATGTTCTTAAATTAATGATCAGCAAATTAGAGAAGTTGTTTTTCATAACCTCAGTTTCCCTGATAAGTGATGTCTTTGTAGGCTATAAACAGATAGAGTATGGAAGAGGTTAATGGAGAGTTAATTGCACCTAACAACTAAAATTAACAAGACTTAACAGACAAAGGTTAAGAAATATGTGAAGGTTAACTTGTTTCCCATAGAAAAGAATAGATTTATGTATGAACAAATGTTTAACTAAAAGGTTTCAAGGCACCTGAATGTCTCCTATGCCTTGAGATAATGTTTTTGCTGTAACTTCTCATCCCTGTTGTAAATTTAAGAATTGTAAACCATAAGGAATGTGTACCTTGATGTCATTGATTACTATGAATGCAATGTTTTCTGTAATGGTATATAAGGGGGTTGTAAGACAGAACAAAGAAGTAGTAGTAGTAGTGACAAGAATAGGGGGAGAAGAAGGAATATGAGATGGAGAGGAGACGAGACAAGAATGGAGGGAGGATAGAGGGAGTAATGGAGAGAATGGAAGCAGGAGGGGAGAGGAGAGAAGGGAAGCAAGAGCCAGGGGAGGGGAGAAAGGACGAAGAAGATATGAGCAGGAGAGCAGGGGAGTAAAGAATGAGCGGGACAGTAAAGAATGAGAGAAGTAGAGTATTAGAGTAGCCATAGAAATAATAATAATAAAGCATGTAATGAGAAGATTTTGAATTTATTATGGCCTATGACTCCGTAATCCGCCGACGCCGCATACGCTTTCGGAAAAACCCTGGAATAAGCCTGTTGGGGCTGGCTCCCGGCATTATGCCATTGCTGGGCTTGAACTACAAGAACCCCACAAGGTGCGCCAGTTCAGAATGAACAGAGCTGGGCTTCCAACTGGGTCATTCCAGTTCGACTTCCTGCTGAGACTTCTTTCCTTTCTGCCCCAGACACACTGAGTCAGATGCTACGTTTTAACAAGATCCCCAGGTGATTTTTATGCATACATAAAATTCTCATTAAAATGTAGAATCTGACTCAGTATATCTGGGGTGGAACCAGAATGGACTGGCTCAGAGGTCTGGTTTAAACGCTCATGTTTCTGACTCTGCAGCTGGCGTTCTGATCCAGGTGCTGGGCTATGTGAGGGGTGGGCTGGGACAGGTGCATCTCGTTGGCATTTGGCTTAATGCGCTGGACTGCAAGGTTGGGTTGAACCACAAGGTCAGTGGTTCAAGCTCACCAGTTGCTCCTCGGAAAACCTACACAGGGTTGCAACTGACTCGGTGGCACTTAACAATAATATGACCAGAGACACCAGTTTCTGCTTACTCTACCTTCTGGTTTGTGTACTCTGCGTTGAGCCCTGGGTGAGTCACAATTGACATGTTGTAAAGACTAGCGGTCTTTAATCAGTTTCACTGGGCCTTAGCTTTCTCATCTATAAAATGAGATAGATAAGCTTGAAGGTACTTTCCAACTATAAAGTTCTACACGTTTATATTAGTAATGTTGTCAGTAATAAGCATCTGTTATGCACAACCCAATGAAAGTACAAAGTGACAAAGAACTTACAAGCTGGTAACGGGAATGCTGGCATCAGACTGTTGAGACTTCCGGTGTTTGAATGGTTACACACCCCTTCTGTGTAATTTTCTCTTGGGTAAACTGGGGTTAATAACACATACTTGAGGCTAGTGTGACAATAAATCAGCTATTAATAGCAAGGAATCCTTGTGGTGCTGTAAGATAAGCACTGGACTACTAACCACAAGGTTGGTGGTTCAAACACACCAGTTGCTCCATGGGAGAAAGATGAGGCTGTCTGTTCTCATAAAGATGTACAGCCTTGGAAACCCTATACAGGGTTGCTATGGGTCTTGATGGCAGTGGGTTTGGTTTGAGTTTGTTATTAATAGCACTTAGCACGGAGACTGACACATAGCGAGTGCTCAGTAAATGGTAGCTGACACGCTTATTACTAAGTCTACTAGACCCAAGACACAGGCATAAAGCAGGGAAACAAACAAAGCCCCCACACTTTAGAACAGGAAATGTTAAACAGCATATGAAGGCACTGAGGAGAATGACTATAGGTATGGGGTAGTAGGGATTACCATGAGTTTGGAGCTAAGGAAAAAGAGCAGAAACGGACACAAGGCATGTTTAGGGAGGAGGAAGAAACTGGTTTGGTCAGAGGGTTTGGCTGGAAGACCTTTAAGCAATTTTTTCTTTTGAGATCCTGTGACCAAGAGATGTGAGTAGAGGCATGGAGAGGGAATGTTTGAAGAAGTGGAAATATACAAGTGTGTTGGACCTTCTGTTACGGTTGATGTAACATAGTAGATTTGACATGTACACATTTAAGTTATGTGTGCATCTGTATTTGGCCTGAGCATCTGTCCTCCTCAGGAAGGACCGTTGGGTGTGTCTGCTTTGTCTGCTTGCCCAGTCCCTCTGCTGGTCCTCACTGGTGGTACGACTCTCAACTACCCTGTGTACCTACCTCATCTTTTTTTTTTTTTTCCAGGTGATTTCATCTACTCCCATAACTCCAGGGTTCACCTCCATGCTGATGGCTCCCCCTTGGCCATTTCAATGAACACCTACCTGATCCATCTATCTCACTGCTCCGCTGGATGTCTACTGAATTCACCCTGCTCAGAACAGAGCGCATCACTCATCTTCCCAAACCTGCTTCTCCTCTGGAGTTCTCAGTCTCAGCAAAGGAACCAACGTCACTCAAAGGTCACCAAGTCACCACGTATCACCATTCCATGTCCCTAAACCATGTCAAACCAATGGTCACTTCTTGTTTATGGCCCCTCCTTTTTACCTCCACTGCTGCTCCCCAGTGCAGACGTTAGCATCTCTTGCTTAGCCCATGATAGGAGCCTCCTAACTGGTCTTCCTGACTCCCTTCTTGTCTGCTTTTAATCCATCCTCCATTCTGCTGCTAAGGAGACTCTTCAGGGCTCATATCTGACCATGTCCCTTCATGCTCAATACCTTTCAGTGTTTTTCTGCTGCCTGCAGATAATGAAAGTCCTAGTCATACTCAACTGCGTGCAGCCTTTCTCCTCTACAAGCAAGTACACCAGGCAGTTACATGCCTCTGCCTTGACTGACATGGAGGTGTCAGTTGAGGGTGTCATTCTTAGCTCTTCTTTTTTTCCATGGGCCTGGTAAAAACCTGTTTATTTTAAAAGATACTAGATCTTCTATGAAGACTTCATTGGTTCTCTTAGGTAGAACTCCCTCTTTCATGCTCTCTCTATACTCGTCTATCTGAGAACTAATCATCCGTGAGGTACTTAGTATTCCCTGGCCTCCTTTCTTCTGAGTTCCTTGAGGGCAGGGACTGTGTTTCCAATGTTACTGAGCTGTGCTGGATGAGACAACTCCCTGAGCACTCCTGTTCCCCAGGATACCAGCAGGACTTGAGGAAGAGTGTGCTTAAGCAGTGCACTGGGTGTGTACACTGAGCAAGTATACATGTGTTCATTGGGTACATGGTTGGTACATGGTTTTGCATGGTGCTATGGTTCATGGTGTGGTGCTGCAGGATAATGCACTAGACCATAAAATCTGTTTGAACTGCAAGGTCAGTGGTTCAAACCCATTAGATGCTTCTCAGAAACTCTATGTGGGGTAGCTATGAGTTAGAACCAACTTTATGGCACTTAACAACAACAATATGGTTCTTGGTATGGTGCTGTAGGATCCGCACTGGACTTCAAACCACAAGGTTGGCAGTTCCTCAGAAACCCTATACAGGGTTGCTATGAGTTGGACCCAACTCCACAGCGCTTAACAACAACAACGTGGTTCACAGCAGGACTTCAAATCAGTTCATTCCAGGATCTTGTTGAAATGTATTCTGAGTCAAAATATCTGGGATGGAAAGACAAATTCTCAGCAGGGAGTTCAACCGGAAGCTTTCAAGAGGGAGCCTAGATCCAGAGAGCGCGGAGGAAGGTAGAATCTCCATTGAGCAGGATCCAATCTGTCCTTGTGGGGCTGGGGCTGGGTCCCTTGTGGTACAATGGTGAATAATTGTTATCAGGACTGACTGAGAGGGTTGGAAACGTAAGGTAGACATTTTGTAGCAAAAGGAAGAGAGTGATTGACTATGCAGTCCAGGAGCTGAGGTCCCTGAAACCATCAAGGGAGAAGAGCGGAGTGCTAGACCCTACCCAGAGAAGCAGTGATGCCAGAGATGAAGGCAGAGACGATGATGTGGAGAGATGGATGGAGCGGCTGGGGACTCTAGACCCAGAGAGAGAGAGGGACTATATGCTGATGACCTGGGGGCAGGTTTGAAGGGTATACCCTTTGGTTGGTTGATGATGCATGGAGGAGATTATAACCATGGTAATGAAAGAATATGCGATAGGATGAATGTAAAGCTAATGTTCTCCCATGTAAACTATCATATAATTCACAATAAAGCATTAAAAAAAAGGGCATACTCCAATGATCTCTGCTGCTGACACCTAATCCAAGTATCTCTTATAATAGTTTCCTAACTGCTATCCAACCTCTACTCTTGCCCCATACAGTTCATCTTCCAGAACATACATCAAATCACATGATCACATGACTCCTTGCCTTAAAATAGTCTTTTTGTTCTTAGAATAAAATCTAAACTTCTTACTCTGGCCCATGGTTAAGACTGATAGTCACCTGGTGGGGACCAGTTTCTTTACGACTGGTATCTGTTCTGATTAGTCAGTTTCGCTGTTGCACAGATTGTTCAATTTATGTTGAGCACTACTGCTGTTGGAGTCCCTAGTGTGGTGCTGTGGGCTAGGGCGCTGGACTTCAAGGTCACTTTGAACCGTAAGGTTGGTGGTTCAAGCTCACCAGTCGCTCCTCGGTAACCCTATACAGAGTAGCTATGAGTTGGAACTGACTTGATGGCACTTAACAACAACATCACTCCTGCTATGAGGTATGCTTATTCACATTGGCTTTTCCTTTGTCCTAGGGACATACCATGATAATTTCCATCTAAGGGCCTTTGAACTTGTTTTAGCTTCAGCTTAGATGTTCTTCCCTGAGATCTTTGTAAGTTATATTCTCAACTGAAATGATTCCTCAGACAAGCTGTCCTGGACTCTAAGGCTATCAGCTAACGCTGCGCTGTTCAACACAGTAGCCACTGGTCAAGTGTGACCATTTGAATTGAGAAACTTCTGCCACACTGGCCATATTTCAAGTGCTCAGTAGGCAGTTACACTATACATTCTCAGTCACACTAGCTGTGCTGTGAAGCCACACAGGTTGGTGCTTATCATACTACATAGCACAGACAGAGAACAGTTCTATCATGATAGAAAATTCTGTTGGACAGTGCTGATCTGCTGGTCTAAAGCAACATCCCTTCTTAGATGACCTCTGTAAGTTTACCCTAATTTACCATTTTCCTAAAAGTTATCAGCATATGAAAATAATGGACTTTACCTGCCTCTCTCCTATTAGCATAGAAGTTTTTCTAGGCAGGGGCTTTGTCTAGCTCACTTAAGTAGCTCAAACTCTTAAGAAGCATGTGATTGTTGTTGTTTGTTTGCTGTTAAGTGTCACTGAGTCGGTTCTGATTCATAGAGACCCTATAGAGGGTTTCCGAGGAGCGGCTGGTGGGTTTGAACCACCAATCTTGCGATTCAAACTGACCTTGTGGTCCAGTGCATTATCCTAAATGTTTGCTAGACTGACTGGTTTTTCAGGGATTAGATATTGCCAAGGAAGAAATGGAATGGGAGTGTAGAGGCCCAAATGGAATAACGTTTTCCAGCAATGGGAACAATGGAAAGAGCAGGACGAGTCAGTGATGGAATGATGCTGGAGTGGAGATGAAAGCCGGGAGAGGCTGTGAGTGATCTGAGACACCTACCCTTCAGAAGAAAACTCTAGAGGAGCTCTAGAGGGCTGAATTAAGATGGTTGGCAATTATTGGTTAGGATTCCAATGGAATTTTCTTAGCGCAGTTTCTGACCAGGCCCCAAGTGCACAGGTCAAGGGCCTTGATGACGTTACGGTGATGTCAGGTGGTTTAATGACATTGCAAAAAGCTCTGGATATCAGGATGAGAAGCTTTGTATTAACTTCGGCTGAACAGTGAGTAAAGATGTAATAGGAACTGTGTTTTCTTCATTTAGCTAGTTGGTTTTATTACCAAGTCTAAAAACTATCAAAACAATTTTGAAAACAGAGAAAATCTGTATGTTGTTGTTAAGTGCCAGCATGTTGGTTCTGACTTACAGTGATCCTGAATTGGGTTTCTGAGGAGAGGCTAGTGGGTTTGAAAGGCTGACCTTATGGTTTGCAGTATAGTGCTTATCCTACAATGCTATACCAGGACTCCAGGCAACCTATAAATTGCAGCTGAGCAGAATTACCATGAAAGACCACACTTGGAAAACCAGTCTTGATGCTACAGACAGTGACAAAATATTGTCAGGACATGTGATTCCTATTTCTCTTGATGAACGTTCGGATGTTTCATCGCCTGCCTATTTAGCAATTAAAGCTTAAAATATTTTGTGGTTTAATATAGTTTAATGACTTTGCTATAGATTTATTATTAAGCAAGTCTTTCATTGTAATGAATTTTATCTTGTTAGAATTGAGAAATCAATATGTCTACTTGTATTATTATAGTTCATAAAAGAAAATCCAAATATGCAAGCTTTGTGCAACAATCTGATGCACAATTTTCAATATTTAAAAACATAATCTTATTTGTACTTTCATATTTTTTATTATAATCAATAACTGTTAGAGATCTTAATTTATACTGATGGTGCTCCACCCATGGCAAAATTGTATGTGAGAGTTAAAAACAAAATTGGAAGCAGAGTTGAAACCTATTTGTCTTCACTGGTCCATGAAAGGGAAATATCAGGCTCAATACTTCTTCTTTTTTAATTAAAAATATTTTAAAAAATATGCTGTACTTGTACGTGTACAAAATTTAAAAAGTTCAAATGAGTATATCATGGAAAGTAAGTCTTTCTTCTACCCCGTCTTCCTTACAGCTCCCCACTCCAATGAGGCAACCGCTGTGACCAGTTTCTAGTATATCTTTCTAGAAGCATTCCATGCTATATATATAGAACCAAATACATATATATATGTGTGTGTGTGTGTAGTACCCAACTTTCAATGTATTTAAGTTACAATGAATTACATGTACAATTGGAGTTTTTTTTGTGTGTGTACATCTAAAGAATATGTATTACATAAGCTCATATGTAGAAATCCTGTGTGGCGCTATGGGTTAATGAACTGGACTGCCAAGTTGGTTTGAACTGCGATGTCAGTGGTTCAAGCTCACTGGCTACTCCTTGGAAACCCTATATAGGGTTGCTATAGGTCAGAACCAACTTGATGGTACTTAACAACAACAAGCTTGTATGTAATATAACCAACTCTCAAAGACAAATAAAAGATCAGGTTTACATAGATATAATAATAAAATCTTAAAAAAAAAAAAAAGAGGCATTCGACTTTTTGACTTATATCAGAACCTTGTCCTAGGAATGGGACCCTGTCTTAACTTTGGGATTACCTGCATGGCATATGCTACTTGACTTTATCCTTCCAACAAGCTCAAAATTAGGTATTACAGTTTTCATTTTGCACATGAAGAAATCAAGGCTCAAGAGAGATTCATGAGTTTGCCCCAAGGTCATGCAGCTAGTGCTGGAGGTGGGCTTCAAACACAAAACTCCAGAGCATGGCCTTGTTTTATCATATCATACCAGCTCTCCCTATCAACTTGCTACATTATGGGAAAGAACAAGAATCCTGTCTAAGAGACATACGTCCAAAATTCAGAAGCTCAGAAATGTATTTTTTAAAGTGAGGTTGTAGAACTGTCTGGAACTGGCATGATAGGAAGAAGGAATGGCCAACAAGAAGTACAAAGGCTTGGTAGCAACAGCAATGGAAAGGGAAGGATGGCTAGTGAAAATCACATGACCCTGGAAGTGATCAGACAAAGATGAAGGAAGGAGAATCAAAACTTTGGTTCTGAGCAACTAAGGGAGGGAGTGGGGGTGCTCTCACAACAAATCCGTAAGTCAAGGGTGGGCCTTGAACTGGGGAGATGTTGCAGACACTGGTTGGTGAATATCCTTGAGCAGAGTTTCAGTAAGCTGGTCGAGATGTGGGTCTGGATGGCTGGGGCGGGGCAGGGGTAGGGTGGAGGTTGGACCCAAGAGTCATAGGCAAAGGAGTTGGTAGCCAAAGTGGTGGAGAAAAGAGATGTCTAAAGAGTGGAAGAAGACAGAAGGAGGAAGGCTTGGGGAAACATGAAAGGCATGGAGACAGGAGAGGTAAGGGAAGGCCAAGATGGCATGGAGCCATGAAACTCCAGGAGAGAAGAGCTTCGTGGAGCTGGAGGGAACCTCCTGACAGTGTTAGACGGCGGAGAGCTTGAGGACTCTAAGGTTCTAGTAATGATACCAGGCAGCTAGCCTTGAGAAGTAAGAGAAGAAAAAATATTTTAAAGACACATATAAGGCCAGAGGTGGTGTGGGGAGGGAATGGAGGCATCATTGTCTTCCTTGGTCCATTTAAAAACTGCCTAGGTTTGTTTTCAGGAAGTTTATTATCATGAAATCGGACACTGAGGCCATCACTTATCAGGCAACATTGTAGCCTCTGCTCTGTTTCCCTAGTACGGTGGCTTCAAGGTGTCCCTGGGTGGCCCATTCACTTACTCGAATGTGTAGGTCCTGGAAGAAGATGAGGAGCGTCTGCCGGATCAGCTGGAATTCTCCAGCAGGGAGACTCCCATACACCTGTCAAAGGTAGAACAGCAAGAAGCATTTTCAGAAGTGAGGGGAAAAATGCGGATAGGCAGAGTCAGATAACCAAGGAGACAGGTGCTGGGACAAGTGGGCCAGAAAGAGAATCAGCATTGTTTCCGCAGAGGGACAAGCCCCTTTATGCCACACCCGAGCAGGGACACACTCCATCTCTTCCACTTCCCCCACAACTCAGGAGAGGCCATTCCCACATGACTTCACTGAGCATCCGCTGCCAACTCCCTTCCAGAAGAGCTGGGAGAAAATAGCTGTACTCTAAACTATGGTGTTCCCAGTAGGGAAGCGGGCATAAGATGACAGTGCCTATTGTATTAGCCACCTTGGGTACGCAATTGCAGAATTTTCTGGAAGACTGGCAGGCTTTGCCGTTCCTCACCCTATTCTCTCTGTCATGGGATGAGCCTGTTCTTTGTAGAGGAATGAGAACAAGTGTTGGGGCTGAGAGGTGGGTGGGCTGATGATATTCTTACTTCAGTCAGCAGCCGGGAAGTCTCCTCCACTTGATTCAGGATGCTTGGAGAATCTTGGATGAATCCCTTGATGGCATCTAAATGATTGAAAGTGACCAGCAGCACATCTTTGGGACGGGGACACAGCAATACTTGGTATTTGAAAGCCATAGTCATCAGGTCATAGAGCTGCCAACCCAAACAACGAACAAAACAAACAGGACGGAAGAGCAGAGGTCAGAACCTGCAAACTCTGAGTCAGTCCAATTGTCTCTGAAAACCAATCTGGCCAAACCATACTGCGCGGGCGATCACACAAATTGTCACCCACACCCAGACACTCTGAGAGCAAAAGAGGTGATGCTAAGTGGGGACAACAGCTGTCAACTGGGACATTCTGTGAGCCACGCACATCACTGATGGGACACATGTGGAACAATATTGGCAGCTGCGAGGCCCTGGACCTGGAGAGAGGAAATCCGAGTTCATGTCCTACCTTTGCTGCTGCTTGTACGACCCTAGCCAAGTCTTTGAACCCCTCTGTGCCTGAGTCTTCTCATCTCTAAACAATGCCCTCTAATTTCCCAACTTTGCAGAACTGCTGAGGGGAAGAAATGAGATGTTATGTGTGCAAGTATCACACACAAAGCTCTATAAACATAGAAGCACAATTTAAAATGATGAGTAAAAACTCAGTAAGACACAAAGAAGCCCCGTGGATGGCCTGGCCATCCAGCAAAGTTCACAGGAGAGAAATTGAGGAGGCCCAAGGCAGTTAACAAAGGCTCTGTGGGCTTGATATGGACCATGAGGTAGTCACAGGAGGCTTCAAAGCGGCTGAGGGGAGAGAAAAGGCATTGGAGCTGAGAGCAACAGCGTTTGTGAGGGCCTCGAGGCAGCAGTGCTAGTTTCCTGAGAGCATGAGGAGAATGCTCTGATTAGAGAGGACAGTGTATGCTGGGGGTTGTTGTTGGTAAGTGCCGTTGAATTCATTCCAACTCACAGCGATCCTGCATAGAGTTTCTGAGGTGTAGCTAGTAGGTTTGAACTGCCAATCTTGTGGTTTGGAGAGGAAGTAAAGTTGGATGAGCACTGTATGGTTCAAGTATTAAAGATAATAGAAGGATGGGCAAAATACTTTAGATTCGAGGTGGTAACAACTGTTGCCTTTGATTACCTGGCTGAGTTAGTGTTTGTCGGATTCTCTCCAGTAATCATGCACTTTGGATGGAAGTCACTCACTGGGTGCCACCCACACTTTAGTAGTAGGGCTCCACCTCCTTGGGGGCGGAGTAGCTACATACACAATTTAGAATTTTTCTCCACAGCAGATTTGTCTATCCTCCACCATTTATTTATTTGAAATTACTATTTTTTTAAAAAAAAATCGGAATCACTTAATCACTTGTTGCCCAAAGAAACAGAGATATTTATGTCACAAGTAAAGATTAGGGGAGCACAGTGGCTCCATAGGATGCCCTGGACTGTGAACTACAAGGTCACCGGTTTGAGCCCACCAGCCACTTGGTGGGTGATAGATGAGGCTTACTGCTTCTGCAAACATTACAGCCTTGGAAACCCTATACAGAGTATCTCGGAGTTGGAACTGATTTGATGGCACGTAACACAATAACAAGTAAAGACTGAGCAGTTTTGAATTTGCTTTAAAAAATGCCTGGCTTCCTGTCAAACTGTCATTTCCTCACTGCAGAGCTTAGATTTCATAAGAATGAGGTAGAATTGAAACTGTTAGTTTATAGAGTGTTTGCACTGGGTTAGGACATGTATTCCAGATACAGGTGTGAAAACCAGCATTCCAGGCAGGGGGAGTCACCTACACGTCAGAGGGGCTGCTGTGGCTGACTTCTGAGGTCCTCCTGCCCAGCTCTGAAACTCCACCACATCTAGGATTTACAATCGCAGGTCATCTCATCTGACCCCAGTCTACGATCACCCACACAGGTATAAGAAATGTGACAAAGAGGGCAGAGGCTCACCTTATCCATGCTGGCCTGGTTCAGTCTCATGATGGAGGCGTGAGCCAGGCGGTCATAGACTGTCCTCAGGGCCTTCTTAGAGTAGAGCTCTTGGGGTTTGAACAATTCCTCCATGAACTTTCTATTGAACATGGTGGAGATGATGTCGTTCAGAACTGTGGAGACAAGAGAGAATACAGCTGAGTGAGGGAGTGGAAGAAGCTGTGTTCAGAAATGCCCCGTGTACGGTGGCTCCCTCTCTGAAAGGAGGAGCTGGGTATCTTCAGAAGTGAGATGCTGATGTATCAGATGGGCTTTGCTTCCTGGTGAGAACACTCAGGCATCCTGGTAGAAAGTAGGAGGATGAAAGAATTTTATGTGACCATCACAAGGCAAACATAAAGGATGACAATGTACAGACGTGTTGTGCTTCAGAGATTCTAAGCCACCTTTACACAGTATCTCCTTTGATAGTAGGGAGAAAGTTTCTTCTTTCTTATAAAATTCCTATACTTTTTAGATTAGATTTCTCCCTAAAATGAGAGACAGCATCAGTCTTTTTTTTTTTTTTTTTTAATATTAGCAAATCTATACTACTTTTACTTAAAATTAAATTTTACCAATATGGGACCAACGACGGTGATCGACTCTCCTTTTACCAAACATTTTATGAAAATAGATGAAGTCTAACCACTGGTTAGATGTTAAAACACTTTTAATGCTTTGACAGAATGGACGTCCTATCAGCCCAACCTTAATTTCCCCATTTGCTCTATAATATTGATTTTATGTTGTAGTGACATATCTCATACTGTTGCTCAAGTGGGAAGACTTCATCTGGTCAGAGAACAAAAGGTCAGAAGGAGTGTACAAACCAAAGTGTCTATAATTCAAGGGTTGCATTTATTCACTCAGAAATTTTGTGCTACTCACAAAAGTGTCAGTAGTTGACTACTAAGAGAACCTGGTTTAAGAAAGAGGCACAACTTTGTTTGGACACAGATTATTCTTAATTAAGCCAGATCTCTTCTGGCCCACAGGTGAAGAGTATTTGGCTGCTGAGGGTATACTGTACAGTAATTAAAATTTGAAAGAAAACTGGGCTATTTAAAAGTTATACAAAAATGAATGGTTGGACCCAGGTGATTATTATGAAAAGCAATAACTCCTTTTTCTTTGGCCTAACACAGGGAGATACGTCAGCTATGACTGGATGTGGTCACCTCACCTATCCAAGAGAGAGAAGGCAAGGGAGACCAGTGAGGTTATTCTTGTTGGCACCTTCTCTGCCTGTAAGTAACTGAGAGGAGAACCCTGAGGGTTCAGGCAGTATTTTAAAGCTTCTCAAAGCATTTATGAGGGGAGAGGGAGCTCATTTGTAAGCGGGAGAGGGAAAGAAGAAACATTTTTCCCCACACTTACACAACAGAACGAACGGATTTGTGATTCCTTGTGAAGTGTTGAATTTAAGCTTGGCCTTTGGATGTTACTCTAGTCTCCATCCTATTACGCAGAGATGAAGAACGAAATCCTTTACTGACACCAGGTTTCCCTCATATCTGACAGTTTCAAGTCATCGCAGCTTGTCTTCAACGTGCACTAAAGTTACCCCATTGTGGACAGCCTGGACATGGCCTTTTTCCTTCAACCTAAACATTAAGAGCCCGTGATAACTGTTTTTGTTTAGAACATTTTCCTTACCACAGCCTACATAAATGTAGACTGTGCAACGAGGTACAATAAAAAGGCCAGACATTAGGCCTCACAAGAGTGGATATGAAGACTTTTCCACAGATTTATGTAAGCCAGGAGGAGTGCCAAAGACGAAGGACTGAAGTTCAAGTATGACCATCTGCCCTGATTAAGTTAAGACTTACAAGTAGCTACCATTCATTTATCTGTGTGCTTTGACATTTCTCTAGTGGCTTTGAGACCTTAGCAGCAACTAGGAAAACAGGTTAGCCCCCAAATCAATCAGCTCTAAAGGAAAGGAACCTCGGGTAATTGTCAGTCACTCTGGCAAAGTAAGCACAAAATGAAGCCTCCTCCCATGGAGGGTGACTAAGCTATCCTCGTATGTCAGCTTTGCTCCTTTCATAAAAATAGTCATCTGTTGGGAAAAGAGTTGGGCAGAATGGTGACCACAAACAGGAAATGACAGTTTTACAGCCTTGGCACCCAAGGTTCCCACCTCCCACCAAATTCTTTGGAAAGAAAATGGGGAATAAATTAACCTGCCTTCACTTCACAATTTACTTCAAAAAGCCCTTGTGGAGGTGGGGCTACTGTGCACCCAGCTACAGAGAGGAAGCAGAAGCAGGCTAGGTCCTATTTAAGTTAAACTAGACAAATAGCATAGCTTTAATTAATGAAACGCATTAATCTGTCTTGGTGTTTGTTTTGGGCACTCAAATGAGTGAATTTTCATGAAGTAGGAGCCAGATTTCATCCTGGAGCTATAAGGCGCAGCAACGTGGTAACTACCCAGTTCTCAGCACATCAAGCTTCTACTCCCAGGCTCAGACTATGAAGTTGGTTTCCGTTCATTACTTCCAAATGCTGAAGTCAAACAAATAAATTCCAGCAGTTCAAATACATCTACGAAAAGCCTTCAAAATCTATACTTCATGCCTGAAATTCCGCCATGAGTCAGGAGGTGGGTCAAAAATTGCTCAAAAGATGGTTGTGAAATACCATAAGAATATATCAAGTACTTCAATTGGGTTTTTCTTTGAGTCTGGCCTCTTCCTCTCAATGAAAGCAACTGAGTTGTAACAATTAACCTCTGCTCTAAATTCACTTACTTACGAGAACATGCATTTTGGGGCAAAGGCTAACAGAGAAAAGCTAGGAAACTCTCCAGGATAATTACCATGGTTTGAATTCCTACAGTGTTCCGTGCACTGGGCTTAGAACTTTACATACATTATCTCATTTAGATGCCTAGACAACCCTGAATTACCCGCCTCAATCGAGAGAGGAGAAAAGTGCTTGGCATACAGCTGGTGTAGTGGAAATAGGAGTGAGATCTGAGTGATTCTAATGTCTGTGCTCTTAGACGTCATCTGTACGATTTCCCAGCGTGTACAGCGTGGTGAGGAGTCCTGGTGTGGCGCTGTGGGCTAATGCATCAGACTGCAAGGTCAGTTGAACTGCAAGGTTGGTGGTTCAAGCTCACCAGCTGCTCCTTGGAAACCCTATACAGGGTCACTATGGGTTGGAATCGACTCGACGGCACTTAACAACAACAACAACGACAGTGCAACGAAGGCATTTAAAATACTGATGATATGCATAAACTGTATGCAAATGGCAAATGATGGAAGGAGATACCTGTGCCATTTACAGGCTGCAAAAGCCTAAGGTTTATTCTGAGGAATCAGCAACTTTTTCAGGTTTGCAGCTAGTTTGCAGGCCAGATATGTGCCTAATTGAGATATAGGTGAGGAGGAAAGTCAGAATTTGGCATGATAAGGCCATACTGCATGCATGATATCATGCCTTCTGCCCACAGTTCTGACAAACATGCAGCCACATGCTTCTATTTCTCCCAGTTGCCCAACAGATATCTCTGTGTGCTATGGAGAGCAGTTCAGGGAGGATCATTCAGGGTGAAGCACAATACTTTGGATACAGGCCGCTAAAACAAAATGACGTTAAGGACTACCAAATAGGGCAGCCTACCCAGAAGAAACAGCGACTGCCCCAGTTATCCCTGCAAAGCTTGGAACTGATAACAGGAGATGGATCCCTTCAGTGTACGGTGGCCCCCTCTGCTAAAGCTTTTAGGGAACAGATTTAAATGTACAAGCGGGCTTCAAAAAGTCTATGGAAAAATGCCATTGTCTTTTCATTCCATTCTTTTCAGGCACTTTTTGAAGCGCCGTCGCACAGATAATGTCTCAGCTGAAGACAACTTCATGCCTACATTCTTAACTTTGAGATTATCTGCAGCGGTCACACTGTAAGCTCCATTGATAAAGGACTGCGTGAACCTGTGGATGCAGACTGAAGACATGCAGCTAGGAAAGAGCATACCTCGTTTTCTGTCCACCTCTGTCCATTCATCTACATGAAGCATATGAAAAAAACACAAAACAATAACCGGTTCATGAAGCAAGAACATTATTTACAAGGAGGCTTTAAAAAACACCAATTCTAATGATCTGGTCTATAAGCTTTATTTTTCATGTTTGCATTTAATGTCTAATGCAAACCCTCTGCTTTCCATTTTAAACTTTTTTAAAAGGACAACGGATAAACAAGAAGTTCCAAAAAAAAAATCCAAACCAAAAACCCTAGAGAGACTATGTCTTATAGAGAGTGGCCTTGAAGGACAGGCAACTCAGGACTAACTACGCTGGAGTCCATCTGCAAAGGCTTAAGAACTCATGCTCTCATGCCAGAATATGCATCCTTTCAGAGAAGGCTTATGAAAACACTAACTTCCATGAGGAACAATAATCCAAAGGACAGGCAGAGAAAAGGAGTAGCTGTTTAGACAACCTGGTTTTCTATTAATGAAAGATTTCCCTTTCTAGAATACGATGGAACGGCTCAAATTAGACACTTGATACGTGAATTAAAAAGGGAGAAGACTGTCAATATTTGTATCTGCTTTATTTTTTACATATAGTTGTGTGTGATTTCCATTTACAAAGAGGAACGTAACAATGGGTCATCTGGAAAGTTCCTGAGGACAAAGGCAGTCCAGAAGATGCTATGAGGAGACCAAATAGCTAAAAAAGTACACTTTACTACAGAATCTGTGAGAATGAAGACCTTGGAAACCTTTTTTTTTGTTTTTGAAAAAAACAAAACAAATTTTTAGTTTGCTTTAGGTGAAAGTTTACAGAGCAAATTCGTTCCCCATTCAATGTTGTTGTTAAGTGCTGCTGAGTTAGTTATGACTCACAGAGACCTGGTACAGGGTTTCCGACAAGTGGCTGGTGGCTGGGTTTGAACCACCGACCTTATGGTTAGCAGCTCAGTGCTTATCCTACAGCACCACACCAAGACTCCATTCCATCCAATAGTTTGTTCAAACAGTGTTCCATGACATTGGCTGCATTCCCCACACTGTGTTAGCACTTACCCCATTTCCGCCACTAGTTCCCTGTTTCCTTTCATCTAAGTTTTTTATCCCTTCTTGCCTTTCGTCTTTGCTTTTGGGAAA